CTGGGGGCTGGTTATATAGGGAGGAAGAGTTCCTCAAGTTGCCAGAGCTATTTATTTTGTGTGTGCGTACGTGTGTATGTGGCACAAAATTAAACTTGAGAGCTAAATGTAATCTCAGAGTAGAATAGAATTTATTACGAGAATGTAAATATTTGATGAACGCTTTGCGGTGCTATGACACTTTTTTTAATATTTCCATGTGACAGAAAGAAAGTTTTTCACATTTCCCAGGCGGGTTGGTCTCTTACCTGCAGTGACACAGACTTTTTCTGCAGCGTGGTCTCCCTCAGCTCCAGCAGCTGCCTGTTCATTGCAAACAGCCCGGTCTCACTTTCTGCTCCGAGACGTGACCGATTGTGGGGGAAGGAGCAGTTACTGGCAGTCTCACCTTGAAGCCTTCTGCCTGCTCTGCTTCCAGCAGCTGCATGCAAAAACCCTGAGGCTGAACTTCTCTTTTGTGCAGGTCGTATCGATAGGAAAATAGAGTTCCCTCTACCCGACGAAAAGACCAAGAAACGAATCTTTCAGATTCACACGAGCAGGATGACGTTGGCAGATGATGTGACGTTGGATGAGCTGATTATGGCAAAAGATGATCTCAGTGGTGCAGACATTAAGGTCAGTGTACATCACCATTGCTGTACTTCAAAACTCAGATCAAGTCTCACTTCTACTGCATCGAAAACCATTGTTGAAACTGTTCTCAACCTGCCTGTGGTTACATCACAGAGGCACAGCTGGATGGCTTCAAAATGTCTTTTATGAGCGCCACGTACTCAGCTTTGCAAACGGGGCATTTATCAAAATCATAATGATGAGGTAGCTTGTGTTGATAAGAGTATGTACCTGCGTTGTCAGAATGTGACACTTTAAAAATGGCAAACGGGATATTAGAAGGGGAATGCAGAATCTTGCACAAAGATGGAAGGTAGCTTCAACATCGCTTAAGACCGTGCAGGATAGGAAGTATTTTTAGAGACTACATTGCAAGCAGATACACAAATGCAACTGCCGATTAGGAAGCTTCAGACATATGATGTCTGCTTTTCTGAAGTAGATAGAGCCCATGCTAGAGTGACTATGCTGATGAGCTTAACGGCGTGTGCTGTTACTTTCTCACCTCCCTGCAGGAGGGTGACACAGCCCACTGTTACCCAAGCGGGAGGCATCTGTTGCTTGCAGGAGGGAAGCTGCCTTTCTCTCACTACAGGAGGATAGCGGGAGGCATCTGTTGCTTGCAGGAGGGAAGCGCTCGTGCTGCGAAGCTGCCTTTCTCTCACTACAGGAGGACGTACTCAGCTGGCTTCATCCAGAGTGTTTTACCCGCTGCAGCACTGCTGAGCAGTACCACACTTAACAAAAATCTACGTTCTTAACGCTCTTCACTTCTGCAGTCAGTCGGAGCAGCGTGAGGATGCTGCCATCTTCTGAGCTGGGGCTTGAGGGGGTTGCACAGTGAGTAACTCACTCTTGCTTTCTCTCTTGCAGGCGATTTGCACAGAAGCTGGATTGATGGCTTTGAGGGAACGGCGAATGAAAGTAACAAATGAAGACTTTAAAAAGTCTAAAGAGAACGTTCTCTATAAGAAGCAGGAGGGAACCCCTGAGGGACTGTATCTTTAGGTCATCTGTCTCTCTGGGGACAATCAGGAGCCCCTTCCAGGGCCGGGATAAAAGTCTTGTGTGAAAGCCCCTAGCCTAGCTAATTTTCGTTCTTGAGGAGGTTAAATCCTGGTGGGTTGTGGTTTTTCAGTCAGTGTAACACTTCATTTCCCAATAAAACATTTACTTGAATGGAACTGCTTTGGTGGCAGTGACCTGCTACTTCCATGGCACTGTCTATTGCTGTAGGTGGTTTTATTTTCCAAGAAAAAACTCAGAACATTACAGAGTTTATAAATCTGTTTCTCCCAAGAGGGTGACAGTTTGTTGCATACACATGCTTTCTTTACTCCAGGTGAGGAGCTCCTGCAGCCTGGCGCTGCCCAAGGCACGTGGTACGTGGTGTTAAGGCATGGTTTGCCATGCTGCAAACATGCAGTGAGACATTCAAACTACATGACAGAGGCTTGGCATTCTGCAGCATAATCTTAAAGTGAATTCTTCCCCTCCAAACCTAGAATATTGAATCCAGTTCTGGGCTCCCTGGTTCAAGAAAGATGAGGAACTCCTAGAGAGAGTCCAGAGGAGGGCTACAAAGATGATGAGGGGACGGGAGCAGCTCCCCTGTGAGGAAAGGCTGAGAGAGTTAGGCTTGTTTAGCCTGAAGAAAAGATTGAGAGGGGATCTCATCAACACATAAAATTTCTTTCTTAAGGGAGGATGCCATGAGGACGGAGCCAGACTCTTCTCAGTGGTGCCCAGCGACAGGACAAGGGGCAATGGGCATAAACAGAAGCGTAAGAGGTTTCAGTTGAACATGCAGAAAAATGTCTTTGAGGGTGACGGAGCACTGGCACAGGCTGTCCAGGGAGGTTGTGGCATCTCCTTCTCTGGAGATATTCAAAAGCTGCCTGGATGATGACCTTTGCAACCTGCTCTCGGTGAACCAGCTTTAGCAGGAGGGTTGGACTAGATGACCTCCAACCCTTGCCCTTCTGTGAAACAAACCTACTGCCTGCACCTCCACCCCCAAGGGGGTTTCATTTCTACTTTGCTAAGCTGTAGCAATGTCTATACTGTACTCTGTAGTGTACTTCTGTGAAGCACTTGTTAAGGTCTGAGTAATTAATTAATTACCAAATGTGTGTATGCTTTTTAAGATTTGTTAGAGTTCCATATACAGACCACAGTTAAGCAACGTGCAGTCTTTGCTCTGGAAACTTTCTGTGGGAGCAAATGCTGGCCCATAACAGACATTTGGGAGTTGAACACAGAGCAATCCCTTTGGTAACTGCCAGGGCTGTAACAACAATGGTAGCAGCAAGGCCAAGAGATGTTGTTTTTCTATGTAAAAATTATGTGGTTCATTGTTAAAAACAAACCCTACAGATGAATGGAGTCTTTTTATTTAATCTGGATGACAGGAACCCCAAAATAGAGTTGTTTTTCAGCTGGAGATAGAAAAACAACAAGTCAAGTTTTATTACCCATTCTTACAAACCTTATGAGATCTGTCTCCTTGGAAAGGTCACAAAAAGCCAGTGATTTTTTAGCACTTCCTCATCATGGCAGTTGATCTCATCATCGCTCGAGGGGCTGAAGAGCTTTATGACATGTGTGGCGAACAGGGCTTTTTTCATCTGGGACATGGCTGTTAACGCTGGCTTAGAAGCACCAACCACCACGAGGTCGGTTCAGCTGCCTGAAGGGAAGCTGCAATGTGCTGAGCTAAACCACGAGCTGCCTGCTGGTACCCTGGCTGCCACAACAGGAACTGAAAAAGAAACGTACTTCAAAATTAAATTCTTAACCTTTTGCAGCAGAATTTAACTTCTGCCCCTTTCTCCCTGCTTCCTGAACTTGAGTCACAGAGATCAAGACAAAGGTAAAGACCAGGAGAGAGAGAACAGCGAGTATATTCCCTCTAAGGGCAGAAAAAGCTACTGGGGTCCAAATTACCAGGCCAGATTTAGGCCAGGAGCTCCAGCAAGCGAGCAGCCTCCGACTGCCCTGAGCAAAGGGAGGAGCTGTGCAAAGGAAAGGGCCTGGGGAGGGGATGCAGGGAAGAGCAAGGTGACTGAACAAGAGCCATTGCTGCCCTCGGGGGAGGTTTTCAAGAGGAGACTGGACAGGTTGCTGGATAATCCCACTTAGGCTCCCTGCCCCACAAAAGGCTGGAGCAGATGATCTCTGGGGGTCCCTCCCTGCTGGGGCTGTGCCGTGATTCTATGACTCTGAAGAGAGACACACACAGGAGCACCATCAGGCTTCCCCCTCTCCGCCTCCCTTCCACGGCTTTAGAGGAAATGGATTTTGCTCTGACAGGAGAGCAAAAACACACGCATGTGCACACCATTTGCAATGTTACTGTTCGGTGCACAGAGTTAACTCCTACCCCCAGTTCAGGAGCTCCGCCATTTCAGAAAGCAGCATGGATTTTAAAAATAAAATGAGTATTTTTTACAAAGACAAATCAATTACTTTTACAGCAAAACCAGCATCACCTGCAACCATAGCAATATTATAAGGCTCTTAAGAAGTGCTGTAATGTCATTTAAAATTCTGCATATTCCCCGTAGTATTTCCTTTTAGAAAGGAATAAATGAAGTGCAGCCTGAACTACAACATATTATACCTTGTATTGTGGTGCTACAGGCAAAACCGAACCATAGGTTGTATGGCTTTGTCCAGGCAGAGTTTTCTGTGCAATCGGCCCTCACCTGCTGATGACCCCGATCCTTTCAGTGCTGTTAGTGATAGTTTTCTCCTGAAAAACCTCTGGAACAGATTTGGGTATTCAGCAGCTGCAGGACCCTCCCTTACAGATGAAGATCCAGTTTCTGAGCACTTGCATCTCAGGAGTAGGGATGCTAAACAGTCTTTCACCCATTTCAGCATATTCTGCCTTATAAAATAAGTATGTACCATAACTATACCTTTAAATTGTTACCATATTCCATATTACTTCTCTAGGAGCTTGCCTAAAGACTCCTGGAGTAGAAACTACTAATTAAACAATCATGTTTTGACTACTCTGCCTCCTTTGGTGCGGATTAAATACAGACCAGACCCCTACTTCTTATGACGACTGCCTGTATTTGAATCAAAAAGTGAGAGATCAATTACAAAAGCTTGTTAAAAAGTGAGCTGGTTAGAGATGCATTATGGATACATTTTTGGTTTTAGTACACTCAGTTCTATTAAATTAAGAAATCAAAAATAATTACTTTTGAATTTTCAAACATTCAGGTATATTTTTCATAAATATTCATATTAAAATGGTCATCTGTCAAAACATACAAATACAAGTCCAAAATAGGTGCCTGCTCAAGCAGAGATTTAGCTTTTACTAACAGTATATGTACAGACTAACGGCCGTTTGACTTGGCAATTATATATACATGCGCATGCATACCCAGCTGAAGGAAATCACTGAAGTCTGCCAACTGGAGGACAGTGGAGCATCCATTCTGGCAGATGTTTATTTCCTGTGCTGCCCACCAAACCATAGTTGGCATGTACTGGATCTCTGCTGAACTCTAGGGAATGTGATTTCAAACAATAGAATAAGAAATGTGGGCAGCGTTCAACAGGAGGCTATTTATAAGAGGGTATCCTTCTGTGGGAGCCAGCAATGCTTCAGAGAAACGGATGCATTTTTGTGGGCAAAAAGCAGTACTTGATTCCAGAGTACTTGCAGCTACTGGAACTCCATTTTGATAGCAATTTATATAAAAGCTTAAAAAAACAAAACAAAAACAACTTTAAAAAAAAAAAAAAAAAAGTAGTCCATAGTACCCAAGTCCCAGCAGAGTTCCTGTTTGAGAAGAGACAGGTCTAAATGTTAGTTTTGGAACTAACTCCTGCACCTTCTCCACTCATCTACAGTCATCTTTTAAACCTCCAATAGCAGATCCAGCTCTTCCAGAGGTACCCGCACTCTCAATTCTTTTTCAGTCATTAGATCAATTGTCTCTTGCAGTTGATCGGGGAAGTACTCTACTGCATCCATATAGAGTACCTAGAAAGACAACGAGAACCTTTTGTGTGCCACCTTTCTATCATAGCAAGAAACAGTATGAAGTAGCATGTAGATACGCAAACAACTCTGTAGCAGGAACCTAAGAAATACCACATACTACTTTAATATAATACAAACAGACTCAGCACTTCCACAGTGACAGCAATGTAGGTGTTTAGTTAAGCCTTTTCCAACTCTTACTAAATTATTTTATTCAAGAAGAAAAAGTGTAGCTCAAGAGGTGCTGGAGCACTTGTAGCATAGACAGCCATGACCTAGTGCAGATGTTCCTGAATAATTTCTTATACTACTAATTAAATACATTTTTAGTTGCCTATGTATTTCTGCTACTATCATTCTCATGATAAAACACAATCTGAAAGACAATCACTTCTAGATCCCACAGAGAGGAATTATCTCCTTGCCTCATGCAGCACATCCTTTCTGTTCTGAAACACAAACAGCACTGACCACGGTTTGTTTCCATTTCAGATGCATCTCTTCTTTGCAGAACATCTTACAGTACTTCTCCTTCTGAAATTTCTCCTTTCATTTGCATGTAACTCATTACAACAACTACTAAAGCCCAACTGCTTTTTGTTCAAATACAGAACTGCAAAAATTAGAGTAGGATAACAGGTCTGTATTTTTTCTCTGCTTACCTTTGCCCAAGGACAGTTTTGAAGGGCTTTATAAAACAATCCTTTACTTTTTTCTTTTTTTCCTAATGAAGCCTGTGTGAGAAAAAGAAGTTCACACTTCAGTGCAGTAATAGCTGAAATAATAAACACAATTATCACTGAGACAAAGAAATTACTGCTGAAGAGCTCAATGTTTTTCTACTGAGGAATCCTTATTACTATCTATTGTGGTAGCCATGCAATATGACAGGTTACACTGGTGACACTGGTTACGCTCCTCAATGTAATCGAAGAGATGTCTTGGACAACTGGCGCTAGGTGGCTCTGCTTGAGCAGGAGAGTTGGACTAGATGACCTCCAGAAGTTGCTTCCAACCTCAACCATTCTGTGATTCTGTGAAGTTATATAAAATTGGGATCTAGATTTGACTGAAATATCAATTTCTGTACAGAACCTTAAGTCTAAAACATAAAGTCCCTACTATTTGCTTACTCTTTCCTTAGATTTTGCTCCCTTGCCCACTTACCTTTATACTGTAAGAAAGAGTGGGTGGAATCCATCTATTGACATCTTATGGCATTTTTTTATCTATGTAAGATGGCAGCCACGGTAACTTGCCTGCATCTACGTTAAAACTACGCTGTCTGAAGTTATTACTACTCCTAAACCACATGAATTACATTTTCTTTAATACTGCTAGCTTCCCAATAAGGAGCATTAGAATTCACCTTGCAGATCATATAGGTATGGCAGCACTTAGTATTCCTGGTTTTATACAGTACTGTAGTATACAGTACTAGTTTTATACAGTTCATGAGGAATTCCAAATATGTTAAAAATCCCAAACCAAACCAAAATGATACTCCTCTTCTTACCAGAAAGTTCAAATACATTCTCCACAGCAGTGGACAATGGGTACCACTTTCACTCTGAACTGCGTGTTCAAACAGAGCTACAATCCGATTTGTTAACCCAGTTTCAGGAATGGTAGAATGTATTTCACCAACATCTGCCCTGAAACAGAGGAAGAAAAACCACAATCCCTTAAACCCAAGCTAAAAGACCACATCCAGGTAAGAGAGGGGAAAGGTCAATGCACTGTCTCTGTTCACACAGCACTGTATCTAGCCAGGTTTTTGCATTTCATGCTACAAACTCTGAATGTTATAAACCAGATTTTTAGCACTTGTTAACCCAGTCAACACATTTCTAAATAGGAAAAATCAGTTAAAAAAAGATAAATGAGGTATTTTTGCGAAAATTCTTTTAGCATGTTGAAAAATTAACCCTGCCCAGCTGGAGATCATTCCTGTTGGAATACAAAAATTCACTATCATACAATCTTAACACACTTATCTTGGTCTTCACTCAAGATTGTTTATCATTCCAAGTTTGGCATAGCAGCTCAAACCAAATTCAAGTCTAGGTCAGCAAGCCTTCTTCTGGTGCCCAGGCAAGCCTGTTCAAATTTACCCATCACCTTTGTAAGACCATACACCAGTCTTGGATCAAGGCCTAGATTACAGCTCTGGATCTCAACTGTGATTACAATAATTTTCTTTTTCAACCAGAGATTCAAATTCCCTAAGTTCCAGGCATAACACAAAAGCAGGTACATATTTTTCGCTGAAGCACTGATTTCCATCTACAGCTGATACAGCCTGGCTTATTTTTGACGCTTGAGCTTGAAGAAACAGCCTGGAGCACTCATGGCAACATCACTTCTGTCTGTGTGCATTCTCTTAGCCTGCCAGCTTGTTCCACTCACCCTCAACACTCGCTCCTAACTTGCCTCTTCTTTCAAGGGTCTTTGAGGTCATGTTTCCTCTCATCTTAACCTTTGCCATGAGGGAAAATGATGTAATCTACTCTGCATGGAGTCAGACATTTGAAGCATTGTACCTCACACTGTTTTACCCTTCAGATTGATTTCTTTAAATGAATTCCATCCACTTAAACAAACAGAAATACAAAATAGAATAGGAAATAGTCACACATAGAACAGACATTTTCTTAGTCTGTCACATCATAAAACGTTAGTTTTATGTATGACTGATAGGCCATTTAGCTCTCCTCTTGCAACATCCAACTTGTCCCTATACAAATAGAACCTATAGGAAAGGCTATGCTAGCAGAGAACAATATGGAAAGGAAATAAATGTCACAGGGAAAATCATCATTCTGGAATTTTAACATCAGTTTCCAGTAACAATAATGAAAAACTATCATAGTGTTAGTCAGTAATTAACAGTAAATCAAATTACAATCCTCCTTTACATTCGGTGGCTGTAGAATTCTTATTACAATTTAGCATGACGTACACCGACAGCTCAGGAATGTCACTATCATGTATGTGTGCCTGTTGCCAGACTGTGACAATGAAAGCAGTGGACACACCGTCATTTTGAAGTATACTGATAATTCTGTAATTTCATCAAGTGTGAATATTGTAAGCTTACAGCTATGTAAAGCTTCCAGATAACACTTTCCTAGAAATCTCTGTTGCTATGTGCAGACACAATGAACCAAGCTGCCAATGTTATTAGAGATACGTAGCTCCGAGCAACGGGTAGACAACAGTTAGACTAAGCCTCAAGAATGAACACATACCTTCATTCCCCACCCTCCTACCCTTTCCTCCTTTCTCAGGAGCAAAAAATCTGAGCCCAGACCGCACTGCAAATTCAGAAAACTTCCAGCCTCTTCTACCTAGCAACAGCCCCATATGAAAACTAAACTCTCAAGTACTCACTATGGAAACAGATCTGCCACAACTGTATTCTGTGATCCAGGAGTAAAGTAGGGCAGCGAGCTCAGTCAGAAACTGCAGCGTGGCTCTGTATTACGCTCCTTATTGCTGTAGTATTAGAATGCAGCGGTTTCTAAGCTCACAGTGTCTATCTTGGTCATCTAAGCAGGCCCTTAGTTATTTAAAAATTACTTAAAGAAATGTGTACCATCTTGATGTCAATAGCAAGTAATCAAACACAAAGCAACACACAATCTGATCCAGCAGAAAGGACGCGAGGCTATCACCTAGGTCTTTAATTCTTTTCAGGATTCTACCAATGACTCACTGCTCAGTCTTGAACATGTAACCTTCCTTAGCTACAGCTTCTTCATCTGCAAAATGAGAACTATGGTAACATTTTCTCTCCCCTATTCAGTGATTAGACAGATCAAAAAAAGCATAATCATAAGGAGCTGCAAGATATTACCTCTGGACATTCTCAGTGAGTTTTTTTCTCATCTGCTCTGCTTGGATTGCAAACAGCCATGGCTCTAAAGCGTTAGTAGACCTTGTGACACCATCAAAAAATCTTCGTGCTTTGCTAGCACAGTGAGACTTCCTTTGGATGTGGATGTATGACCTCCAAAGAGGCAGGTTGCTAGGATACCGTTTCAGAGCCTCCGTTAGTGCCTCTCGCAGAGGATTCAAAGGATAAACACTAATTTTCATGTGGAATCTGAGTAAATTTGTATGCAGCAGTGTGACAGCTTCAAGAGCAGTGGGAAAATTCTGAATGCCAACATTCTCTCCAGTATTTTCACATGTCTGTGGACCAGCAGCTTCAAGTTTTTCTGAAGTCTGTGCGTATATTAATACTGCAGCATCAATCCCAACAGTCAAATACTGGAAGAGCGCGTAACAGCCAACCAAGTTCACCAGCTGATTCGCATCACTGACCTGATCCTGATTAGAAACTGATGTTTTACTTAAATAATCTTGTAGTGCATGCTCATATGTTTTACGAGCTTTCAAGACATTCACAGGTAACACCTGTCCATTATAGGGCACATATGGTCCACTTTCAGCCAATTTGGTCAATATGTGAACAGCACGTGACATAACCGCTCCTTCTATACTTTCTAGCAGTTCCACTTCCAGCTGAGCATAAAGCAGACTGAGGCTGCAGAGCTGGGGACTCTTCAATCCTCCTGTCCCCGCCGTGCAAAGAGCTGTGTCAAATACCTTCCTGGCATCATCAATGTTACCAAGCAGCCATTCCAGGTAGGCATACAGTTTCCAGAGAGAAAGGTGGTTTCGGTTGTCGGGTTCTTTAAGGAGATTCTTGGCCAACTTTTTACTCTTTTTCCCTTGTGCTTTCAGCTTCTTCTTGTTTTTCACTTGGAGACACTGGACTACCTGCAGGGGACAATAGCAGAACAGATTTTGAGAGGGGTGGGAGAAGAAAGTCAAAAAAAAAAAAAAAAAGCTCACAGAATTTAATTTCGTTACTGTGTTGGTTTTCATATTGTTCCATGTTTCACCACCAGCCAGATCTGTTGCTACTGAGTACTGCATGTTGTCACAACTGCCTGTTGTCAGCTCCCTCCAACATAGCCAAATTACACATCCTTACTCCTGCCACTACCACCAAGTAATATCAAATTTCACTCTTTCAAAATGCCAACTGCTTAAATAAAGAGCTGCTAACCTGTAATGGTTGAAAAAAGGAAAATAAATGATCCTGTCTGGCCAGATACAGCTTATGACTAGCACAATTAAACCTCCAAGTAGCTTTTCAGCGGGGAATGTGCTGACAGACAAATCTGGAGATTGGATGGGAAGATTACAGGAGATCTTCTGGTCAGGTTGTGTTTGGGTAAGAGACAGGGAACTTCTCCATACGGAAACACAATACTAAGCTTTCTGAAGCATTAGGAAGAGAACCCAGACACTCATCCCTTCTGTGGACATCTAGTAGAGCAGTTTACTTAAATGAATTCAAGTGATAAGGTGTTATTTCCTTCCAAAACACCACAGATGTAACTTGCATATGAAGTAGTTAAGTTTCTTGATAAGGTGCTCTTCTCACGGCATTGGCGATTATGTACTTAGTACAACAGTTTGGTAGAAGTACTTGGCTGACTTAATTTGCTTTGTAAAATATCCCTTGCATCCATTCCCATCTAGCATACAATGTATCGTATAACATTTATTCAAAACTGCAAAAAATATTTTGTTACATGTATGCCACTGTGTAACATGTACCAAAGAAAAGGGTTTGGGTCTGGTTTTTTTTAACCCCCATTGCAATCTTAACTGGCATTTTCTGATTTGAATACTTAGTTCTACAAGACTTCATTTTCATCAATATTTATTTTAAATTAATATAAACATTAATACACAAGAAAGCCACACATCACAAAAGTGATTATATGCAGACTCCTCATTACCTTAGATATTTCATACTGCAACCAACAAAAGGACAGGTTAGATTTTTCCTTTCCTGAAAATAGCAGGAATAGAACATGAAAAACATTCTGTATGAACTCCTCTCCTTCTTTATAGTGGCCTATGTGATGTCTTCCTCGTAGCATCGTGTCCATATGACCAATACTGTTGAATCCACAAAGCGGAAAATCAACAGAAGTCAGTGGCTTTTCATCAGAAAGCACACTGTCAAAGATGTTATTTTCATCCATGGCAATATAGAGGTTGGAAGGAAAGAGTTTACTTGTACATGGAACTCCCAGGAATTGCAAGAATGAGTACAGGAGCTGACGCTGAAGATCTGGATTAGAAATCTGGATTAAAGATGGTCCAAGATCATCAAATAACACCTAAAAAAATCCAAATTAAAACAAACTCCATAAATTTACGCTATCAAGTAAAATTAGCAAACCTTTAATTTATGTAATTAAAGAACCTCTTCAAATCAATAAAGATTTATAATTACTATTAAATGGTAACAGATATCATCCAAATTAAAAACAGACAAGTTAAACAAGCAATGTGTTCTTCCAGTCAGACTGTAAATTTGCTGTCATGAGATTTCTTTGCCATTGATTATCAAAGACCTCCACAAAAAAATTAATACAATGAAGGTGTGAAAGATGATATTGCTTAGGCCATTTAACATATTTTTATTTGGAAAATCAATGTCTGACTTGACCCATCTCCCAAGAAGAAAAAAAATAAACCCAAAAATCCAACCATCTGACTTGAAGGCAATGAAACCTTTGTTTATTTAATGCGTATTTTATCTTAAACACAGATTTCTATGACACTTCCGCATACAGATGAGGGAAATCGCAGAACAGCAGAGACATACTATTTGCCTACAGCCCTTTCCAAAGTTTACCATGAGCTTCCCATGAATTTCAGAAGTCTCAGCACAAAACCTCAGGTAAATTTTGAATTCCAAACAAAGAAAATAATTTTTTCCAAACAAAGGAAAAGATTACTCCTCTGGAATACCCTTTGGCAATGAATTCCAATGAAAGGATAATTCGTCTTATCATCTCCCCTTGTTTTATTATATCACAGTGACCTGTCTTTCTGGATCTTCACAATCTTCTTCAGCTTCCTTTTTCATTTTGTCTGGCCTCCAAGGTAACCAGTGCCTTGCTTCACGAGAATATTCAATATCCAACCAAATATGCCACTTGGGGAGAGTTTTATCCTTTATTTCTTGATCTTCATCTATCTCTTCATCATCATCATCATCTAAAACCAAATAAAGACACACACACACAAAATTATTAAAGGAAAATTAATTCACCAAATCCAAGGCCAGACCTGACATACAATTTAGCTACTTTAAAAATGTAAAGAAACACAGCGTTAATAATAAAAAAATAATCTGAAAATTTCCACATCACAATTCTGGGTTTTGACACCAACTCTGTAACAGTAAGAGGTTTCCAAACTTTTTGAACTAGTGAATCAGTGTCAGCATTCAAACTTTCTCAGAGAGGAGAAAAGAAAACACTGACAGGTTGTGGACTACTTTTATCAACAGCAGTTTGCAAGCAACAGCCAAGAGTCAGTCATCTTTTTGTGCATCTTAGATTCTTCACTTTATACCTGGGCATACAGTCTCAAATGTGCTCTATGAATACTCACATGCGTAAAACATTTTGAGAAAACCACTGTAAGTAAAAAGTAATACATTAAACATCGCAAAACAACTTGGCAATGTTGCTTTAAAATAGCTGGTATTTTCAACATTTTAATTAATGTGTAGTTGAAACAACCAATGTAGTTAAACACACACAAAAGAAGTGCTTAACCACATCCCACTTTTAGGGTGATCTTTCTGGACTATGAGATACAATTAGCATATTTTTCCTGTGACAGCAATATATTAATTCTGTGCTGAAACTGATGAGCAGCTGTAGGCTAAGGGAAAGCTTATAGAGATTTTTCAAATACTTTTTTCTTTCTTGTTGAGAAAAAAAAGGTCCTCAAGATTTATGGTTAGCTGCACTTTTTTCTATGTACAAAAATCAGTCCACTTCTATGCCACCTCCAGATTCTTGATCCTGACATTTGCCATTAACTAGGTGAAACACTCTCATTCCCAGTTCTTAAATTTCAGGTAAAACAAACAGGTGGTAGAAAGACTTCTACATATATGCCAGACCTGCCCAAGACTGGCAGCGGTCCTCTTCTCAGTATGTACTGAGTCTTCTCAATTTGTGGGCAAAATGTCTATAGCCATCCACAGTGGAACTGCTGACCTCAGTTAAGGGGCAAGGAAATTCCATCTTAGTCCAGTGATAACGGAAGCGTGGGATTATTTTTCAGTTCCTTTGTTTATTAAAAGCAGAGGCAAACTTGCTTCACTAGTTGCTACAGCAGCAGGAGCAGCAAAGGCAGAGACAGCTCATCTTTGGCCAGTCACATTCCAGCCCCTGCTTCCCTTCAAGATGTATCTGTTTTAGAATTAGTCCTTGACATTAAGGGAAGCACTGTAGACCAGAAGTGCCAAGTTAAGACCAAATCCTTCGTTTTCTGCATCACAAAGAGAATGGAAAGGTTTTCCTCCTATTTCTACTATATATTCGCTGTAAGAAACTGAAATCTGATTCTAGAAATAGAATCATTAAGCTAAAAATCCATGAAGCAACTATCGTCTAATATAATCCCACCTGGTCTACCAATATGTTGACAGGGTCTTAAGGGAAGTAGCTTCCTTTCACTTTAGGTGGGCATGGGTCTCAACCAAGTACTCACACCTTTAGCCTTTTCAGCACAGAATGGAGGATATGTCATCCTCTCCCTTAATTCTCATCCCTAGGAAGAACAACATTCCATAAACAGTATCGTACACGGAACACTCAATACATGCCATTCTCTGTGAAGTATCTTAACCTTGGTAAATATTTTTTAAATCTTGTAGGCAAAAACGTGAGAAGAAACAGCTTGTATCATTCTAATCAAAATGTTTAGAAGAACACATGGACATACAACTACACATATTGTCATAGGCATACCAGTCTTAAGAGCAATCCAGCCACCCTTTTCTTGTTGGTGCATCCATGCTTTCCAGCCTCTTGCTCCTTTTTCTCCAATTCGTGGTTCTCCACTATCCCAAAAGGGTTCAAAGAATTCCACCTGTTGTTTTGGGCAAACAGAACCAAAACAAAACATATAGAAAAATCATTTTTGCTCTTGTACAGACACTACCTGGGTCAACTTAGTTTTTCCAGACCCTACAATCACTTATCTGGGTGCAATTTCTGATTTTGTTAGATGCTGCTTAAGAAGCAGCATGAACAACTGAGTACTTCAATTATGCTTGTGGCAAGGCAGCCATGTCATCAGCTCCTCTCATGAACATATAGATTGTTTTAAAAAGGTATTGGGCTTTAAAGATAGCAAAATACTTCTGTGCCAAGTGTCCCATTACAGATTCTTCAAGGATAAGGGCCCAAGGTCCCCAAGATGTGGCTTTCAGAAACCAAACCTTCCCTCTTCCTTATCTTCCATGGGACCACGAAGAATTTGGCTAATGGAATGGTCATTCAGACAATCATACACCTATGTCAAATCAAAATGTTACAGTTGGACATAAATATGACTGGATTCAGGACAAGAGGACAAGATCAGTAAGACCTTTCATCTCTCAGGTTTCAGGGTGATCAAAAACTTCAGGACACTTTCCAGTGAATCAGAAGTCCAGGGGTCTAGTCTTGACTTTGTCACTGCCTGTATGCAATCCGTCATCTTTAGATTGATCAATTCACCCCCTGCTTTTTGTATACTTAGCTCTAATGACCATCTCTCTCCTATTATGTGCTTCTGCCGTGTATCAGATCTTGGCTTGGACATTGAGATGTGACTGTTTATACAGATATTAACAATAACATTTACTCTAAGAAAAATCAAGCATCAAGATATCAGAAAATGCAGGGCTTACAGCAACTGCAAAATCTAATTCTGTTCCTCATGGATTTATTCTTTGCTCCAAGTGAGAAAGTGAACTGTGAAAACAGTACGGAAACAAGTAATTCAAGATTGAGTCATAACACTTCTGTAAGAGGGCAGAATGTGCAATCAGCTGTAAATTTGGCATTTTCCTATTTTCAAGAACTGCACTTTCCAACCTAAACACTGTCCTTTTAAATTGAGGTTCCTTTCCATCCCGTTTTCTTAAGAGATTTTAAACACTACAGATAACCTTGTAGTTTTTCAGATGACTGGAAATATAACTTAAGCTTTATCTGTGTAACTGTACTAAAACTCCCATCCTCCATGATAATTATGATTGAACTCTAAACTTCTAGCTCTTTAAGAGGACACCACTATTATTTAAACTACAAGACTGGTCCATTGGTGAGTAACAGCATTAACCTAGAGAGCAAAAAATGGAGTCTCAGTAATAGCTGCTGGGGAAGAAGGTGAGGTAATAGAAGGAAATTCAATTTCTGTCCTCTACAGTAGCCCAGCTGCCTAACTGGTGGCCCTCCCTACCACCCATTAAAAAGGAAGCAGCTCCTGACAGTTCAGTGGGATGATGCTACACTGGCAACAGCCCCCTCTAAATATTAACTTACTGATTATATTGGGGTGTGCGCCCAACATTCTCCTGGGCAAAACAAGAGTGATTTAGTACTTTAACAGAATAAGCTCAATGGAATCTCATGGATTCTCAAACAGAAGATACTTTAAAGCTTGAAGATATTCCTAATGTAGCCATCAAACAATTACTGAAAACAACAGGTAACAGAGAACCTAAGAAATGTTTGCAAGAACTGTCTAGAACAGAAAGAGATTATAGATCCTATCAGCTTTCTCCATCAACAGTAGTAGAACAACAGAAGTTTTAGGGAAAAGAAGCAGGGAAGTGCTAACTAGACACAGACATTGGTCAGAGAGCTCATTTTTTCCCCATCTTTAATCAGTAAACAAGACGACATGAAATGACTGGTCATCACACTTCCATTATATACAGTAGAAGCAGCCATTTGGCACATAGTTCAAGCGGACCCACAAGCATTTTTCCAATGCAAGCATCACCTTGAAGGACCACAAAGTAAGTTGTGATTCAAAATGTTTCCCTATGTCCTTAAAAATTCATTAACATTGTTCTGTAACAGCAATCTCTGTAATGCACAAGGACATACACCCATTTAAATGGAAATTGCTACCTGTCCCCTTGTTGGCAGATCTTTTACACTGTCAGGTTTAAAGAAGGTGAAGTCAATCAGAGCCTGAAACAAAGACACTGCTTTCTCAGAATGGCCAGCCTGTCTCAGAAAGTGGCACTGCTGAATAAATATAGCTGTAAAGTAAAGAAGATAAAGTTTTAGTATTTCAAATAAATTTTGTTGCAAGTATTTTATTACAGCCCACAAATATACAAAAGATATACATGAAGTGCTGTAAAGCATAATTGTTTTGGAAAGTATCAAAATCCAAAACACAGGGAGTAACTAGCATAATGCATGTCAAAATTGTTGGTAGTTTAATTAACTTTAAGACTTCCCACTTTAAATGCACCAAAGAGATGACTTTATATTCATACCATACATGCACTGTCCTTATTGATAAATAAAAGTTACACACAATGGTCCCAATTCAGTTTATCCAACATCTGTCAGAGTGGGTCATAGCCCTCTTTGAAGATGCTGGGTATTATTACAATTCCCACAGTAAGCAATTACAACAAAAATCCTTTTCCCTCATTTTTGCATGAGATAGTAACATTGGCAGTATGTTGGTAATATACCATTTTCATTCCAACTGTCATTCCCATTTTCTTTTCCTTTACATAAGAACTCAGTTAAGAGAAGTCTAGTCTTTAGGACAAAGTATTACTGCTTGAAAGTAGAGAAGAGTCCTATCTGTCACTTGTCAACAAATTATTTCTGTAATCGCTGCCATATCCCTACTACACACTAAGCCTCAAGTCTCAGCTTAAAAAAAACTAAGCAAAGCTCCAGTTTTGCTATTCATACATTTGCAACAGGAGTCTTAAATGCAAGAGCTGGAGAAATAACAGGTATTATAAACACCTCTAGTAATAGGCAGTTCAAGGACATTTCAGAGATATTCCATCACTCCAAATTACGCTCGAGTCTTTAACAAAACAGTGGAGGTTCAAAAACCAAATCGCTTTAAATTATAATCTTAACTGGCTTGCAAAAAACCCCAGTCCCCATTACTCAAGACTTAAATAATTAATTGATAGTTTTAAAAACAGTTCTTCAAAAACTATTGTTTCTTCACTAAACACATTGGCTTTGGAAGGTTTTAAACAAAATATTTAAGTGTCTAGATACACACATGTAACAACATGGGTTAGCACCAACTGCTTTTAATGATCATCTTATTTTTTAATACTAAGAAGTGGCAAGTGAGTTACTCCTTTTACCTGTATTTAGATTTATGTCAGATGTGTGCTCATAAAAATTTGAATTCAGCTAGTAATACACAAACTAAGCATTTCATCTGGTTTTCCTGCAAAGTCAATGCTTGTTTCTGATAATAAAGACTCTGAGACTTCTGAAGATATTGAAACAACAAAAAGTACATTTAAGTACGTAACAGAATCTTCCAAAATATTTTAACCAATTTAGGCACTATGTCCAACTGACACTGAAGAAGCTGTCCTTTCCTAGTTTCTCAGCTTCAAACAGATGAGCTTCAATTAAAATACTCTGAATGTAGAGAATATCTCATCAGGACTTACTGCCAAACTGGAGCCAAAAATAAATCATAGCATAAGTTTTCTGCATGATAAAAATGAAAAAGATACTTGAAGAAATGCAAACATCAGCATTTGCTTTGTGGCAAAAGCTGAAAACAGCATGAACACATACATAATTCAGTCCACGATGCTAAGACACTTCTGCAGCTGAATTGACCTAGAAGATAAGGATGTTTCTCCCCAACCAGTAGGTATAATTTGAAAAAAAGGATTCCTTTTCTACAGCAAAATTTGAGGATGGTTACCTTTATCTGATTTATATTAACAGTTCCTAGTAAATTTTAAATATTACAAATTGTTATCTCAGTTTAAGTTGAAACTGATCTATAAATTGAAATTAATTTTTACCTGCTTTCTTAAATGTCATGTTTTTAAAAAAACACCCGTTTCCAAGCAGATAGTTGCGTACCGAATTGAACACTAGATGGCATAGTCCACCACTATTTAAACTAAACTCTTTACACTTTGTCATCAGCAAAGGTCAAAGGTTGAAGATACAAGCCTACCATACATGTACACTGCTACTCACCTCATAATTAATTTGTGAAACTCTTTGTATATTTATGTTAATGAATAACTTGGTAATCTTCCCAGTAAGTACACTGACAGTTCAAATTCAGCCCAAGACTTAGATAGTGGAGTCCCTAAAAAAAGTTTCAGATCAAGAAGTCTCCCTACTGGAAATTTCTCCACTCCTATTATTTTAATTCCAAAGGGGGCAGGGGAAACAAACCCCAAACCAAAACCCCAAACCCTCAACAGTGTTCATAAACAAATCACTGTAGTCTTAATACAGAACAACAAGACATTAAGAGTGGAACAGAAACACAAATAAAGTTGAGTTCATTTTCATTTTAACCTATCTATAGATATTGCCAGCAAACAAGTATTTTGAAAAATGTCAATCAGTCTAACATAGTTAACTAAACGAACTCCATTAAAAAACCAAATCACTCATAGCATTTGATTCATTAAATACTGTTTGTTTCCCTGCACAGAACATTGTTGACAAAATGAAAGAAAAACCTTCCTGTTTGAAAAAATAGATGCTGAATAAAACATTTGTCCCAAGAATCATTCATTGTGGTTAGTGTACAAAGTGACTGAAGTGTTGGAAATCAGAGACAGTAGAAGCAATTAGAAGCTATCAGGCAGTACAATATCCACCTGCCAGTACAGGATTTTTCCTTTACAGCACTTTTTTCCAGTGCTTGATCCAAGATAAATCAGCCAAAGATCATAAGAGATCTGAACACCTGAAACTAATTTGTAACCCAGCATCTCAGAAAAAAGAGAGCCAGGAAGAACCCCCATCCACTAGTGGGTGCAAGGGGAACACTGCCACTAAAGACGAGGAAAAGGCTGAGATACTCAACACCTTCTTTGCCTCGGTCTTTAATGGCCCAACGAGTTATCCCCAGGGTACCCAGCCTCCCAAGATGGAAGATGGGAACAGTGAGTGGAATAAACCCCCCATAATCCAGGAGGAAGCAGTCTTTGACCTGCTATGCCACCTGGACATACACAAGTCTATGAGGCCGGATGACCCAAGAGTGCTGAAGGAGCTGGCAGAGGAGCTTGCCAAGCCACTCTCTATCATTTATCAGCAGTCCTGGATAACAGGGGAGGTCCCAGATGACTGGAGGTTGGCAAATGTGATGCCTGCCTTCAAGAAGGGCCAGAATGAGGATCCAGGGAACTACAGACCTGTCAGCCTGACCTCAGTATCGGGGAAGATTATGGAGAGGTTCATCTTGAGTGTGCTCACCAGACACATGGAGGACAATCAGGGGATCAGGCCCAGCCAGCATGTGTTCATGAAAGGCAGGTCTTGCCTGATTTCCTTCTATGACCAGGTGACCCGCTGGTAGATGAGGGAAAGGCTGGGGATGTTGTACACCTGGACTTCAGCAAAGCCTTCAACACAGTCTCCCATAGCATTCTCCTGGATGAGCTGGCGGTTCATGGCCTAGATGGATGTACTCTTC